GGTTTTATCCTATCACTGCTTAAAAAGACCTTTGTGCTGGACCACATTATTCTTCTTTAGATCATAACAACTTCAGAGTGGGGTCCAGGTTTCCTCCCTGTTGCCTACTTCTCTGTACCTTCCTGCAGCCTGACTTGGACCAGGGTGTGCTGGGTCAGATGCTGACTGCTTATGGAGAAGGTGCTCCTGACGATGCCCTTGTGGGGCATTCTCTAGGACCTGCCAATTTTAGTTTAACCACCTTTAAATTGAACCCCAGTCATTTTCTAGAGTGAGAATGCTAAGAGAAGAAACAGTGAAGAATGAAGAAAACTGACAAAGAGGAAGACCTAAAGAGACAGAAACTCTGAAAGTCAGGAGGAAGGGATTCCTCTGGGGAGGATTCATCTGCCTTTGCTGCTGCTTTTTATGGGGGGTGGGGGTGCTGGGGATTAAACTTGAGTACATTGGAGCCACATCTCCAGCCCTATTTTTGTATTTTATTTAGAGACAGGGTCTCACTGAGTTGCTTAGCACCTCACTTTTTCTGAGGCTAGCTTTGAATGCATGATCCTCCTATCTCAGCCTCTGACCTCTGGGATTGCAGTTATGCACCACCACCTGCCTTACCAATGCTTCTTGGTTAGAGATTTCTGTGAGGGCTCCATTTAGGATCAGTCTTTGTAAAAATTTCTCTTTCTCCTCTTCTTTATCTGAATCCTACAGAGACATACAGTTGGCTGTCTTTACTGTGCAAACCAAGGATGCTCAGGCAGGATTAGAATATGCTCCTCGGTTTTACTTATGTTTTCCAGTTTGCAAGACTCTTACTTCACTAAATTAGACTGAGCTGTTTCACAAAGCATTTTTCCTTCCCTAAAGATCTGGGTAAATTAAAAGTTCTTGCCTTCTTTACCTGCATCAACACCATCAAATGCAGGACGGTGGTAAATATTAGGGGCATGTGAAAGTTACTAGCTTTTGTTCTGCTGGTAATTCATGTTCATCTCAGATTCTTACAATCACAGCCTGAATGAGGTAGGTCACATATAATCATTCATTCCATTTTCCACACGAGGAGGCTGAGACCTCCAGCCTAAATGACTTCCTTAAAAAAGTACATCTAGTAGAGATAGAGCCAGTACAAAAATACAGGTTGAGCTTTTCTCATCTGAAAACCAGACATCGGAATTGCTTAAAAATGTGAAACTTTTTGAGCACCAACAAAACATCAATAAGAAGATTCCAGATCTGACTGCAGGTGGTGGGTCATAGTCAAAATGCAGGTGCACTGAACATACAGAATAAAATTATCTGCAAGCTATGTGTGTAGAATGTATATGACATATAAATGAATTTTGTGTTTCGATTTGGCTCCCATCCCTAAGCTATTTCATTACATATATGCAAATATTCCAAAATGCAAAACAAATCAGGAATCCTACACACTTCTGATCCCACACATTTCTGATAAGGGATACTCAAGCTACATATCCCCCTGTCCTCCTTCCTGCTACACTTACCATGTCACATGGATTTCTAATAAATATGCCAGTTCTTTCCTGACACTGTTTTCTTTGCATGGACAAGTCACTTAGCAAATAGTAATGGACTCTTTAAGATTTTATTCTCTGTTAAAATAATATAATCCACACATGTAAAATGTTATGTATTTGTACTTTATATCAATGTGACATGATTTCTCTCTCTATCTTGATGATTAACAGAATAATTAATATCATTTTACTTTAAAATGACAAAATAGAACACATGGAGTCCTAGCATATGAAATGCTGTTCTTTTGTCTGTGCGTGCAAGTCTAATTCTGGGGTGGAGATCTCCCCAAAATATAATATGAGAACTCAGATACTGGAAGAAAATTTTTATATAATAATTTTCTGATCTTCTTTTGTTTCTTGATTTCATTACTACCTGCAATGTGGAATGAGACTTTTTATTAAGTAATAAATAAACTTTAGAATTTGAATAATCATGATAAAAGTAATTATCTAATATTACTACAGTTCCTAAACCCTTTTCTTTCAAATAATTTTACCTTATTTATTTGTCATAAGATGTTGAAAAAATATCACAAACTGACTTCTTATTCAAAATCTTTGGCAAGTAACGAAGAGATGATTAGCAAATTTGTTATTCCTTGAAGTTACTCTCTTCCTTCCTTTCTCCCTCCCTCCCTCCCTCCCTCCCTCCCTCCTGTCTTTCCTTCTTTCTTTAATTCTTAGATTTTCCAATTCATCATTTCTTCTCATCTAATCATTTTGGTAGCTGACTTGGATATATGATATCAATTGAGCAAGAAACAGAGGGCCTTGACTTCCTTAATTCAAAATAATTCCTTTATCCGAAATAATATCTGTGTTCTCACTTTATCCTGCCATTGAAACTTTACAGTGGAATAATTGTTTTGTGCTCCTTGTAATTTTAAGAAAAAGAAAAAAAAAAAGATCACTTTGTGTCATTAGTTTTAGCAGTCTTTTTAGGGATATAATGTAAGTATGAAGCACCAAAGATATTTTTGTGAGAAGAATGAAAAGTTTTATAGAAGTTTTGATTGAACGTATTTGGTCATATGGAAGTTCTTAATGAATGATTAACAAGTAAGTGTTTCTTAGTCTTTTGTTTTTTTCCCCTAAAGTTGTTGTAGGCATGTAATTCTATTTTTTTTTTTAATTCAGAGAACCCTAAAAGAGCTTTAAGGGTCATATTTAATTCCCTTTTATGTTTTTTTTTGTGTTTAACTTTTTCATAGAAAAAAATAACTATGAAGCAATAGCTTTATACTCTGCATAACTCTTTTCATAGCTGGATTTCTGTATTTCATTCTGAGCATAGTGTTGCCTTCAGAAAGCACAGTTCAGCTGACAAAGTAATTAAAAATAATTGCATTTTTAACTTGTATTCTTTATAAGCTTGAAGAGATTAAATATTCGGCTCATAGCTGCAATTATTAAATGTCCTATATTCTCTTGCCCATTTCTCTGTGGAAGGCTTAAAGTTGAGAAGTCTTCTTATGTTCCCAGATCACAGGGGGGTTCTTTCCTTTTCTTTGTTCTCTTTCCATTTCTTTGTTAAGTCAATCAATTTTCCATCAGTCTTCTTTATGTAAAAACAAAATAGCACTAGTCTTTCTTTTGTGTGAAATTGTGGTTACAGTTTGAGTAGAGAAGCATATATAAATGATACAGGGAGTTTGTTCAGGGGATTCAGTCTTATGCAATTGTGGATTTTGGTTGCTGATTAAGCAGCTTCTGCAAGTCTGTGGTTTTAGTACCTAGTTCTGATCTGAAGATGGCATGGTCAGCCATGAGAAAGGTGGACATGAACTAGGGGAGAGCCTGACTAAGATGGAACCCACGAGGAAGACCAGAACCTGCATTAGTTCCTCACTGCCTCCAACTTCCGTGATCCAAGTGGGCTTCAGGGGAAGTGATGAATTCACCATGGGGTTAAGCGTGTACCTGGCCCTGGGAGTGAGAGAAACTGAAAGGGGCTCCTGAGTAGCTCCAGGAGCTACCTCAGGGGGAATAAGAGCTGCTGCCTCCAACAAACCAAGTCAGCCAGCAGATGCAATCTGTAGATGCTATGTCAGCATCCTGCTGGTCCCGTGGTGACTTTCTAAGCATGAAGAAAATATAGCCAATGATAAACCAGAGCAAGGTACAAAGCAAAATGCAAGAAAATATAGTTCTGGCTTAGCTGTAATCATGAAATGTAAATCCACCAACGTAGTGAAGGAACGAGGGAAGATTTGGCTTAGTTACTATAGTTTTTGTGTGTTTAACTTTTTTTTTCTTTGTTTTGGTAGGTTAGAGAAAAGGGGAGTTGAGTAAGAGCACTGCAATATTTAATTTCTGTAACAGTGGTTTGAATCTGCTTTATACTTTCCGTATTAACATTTTTTTTTAAAAACTATACCGCTCTTGTCAAGTTGCACAGAGTTGATTAATTTGTTTACACCTCCCTCCTATATGTAAAGCTGGTAATAGCTGATCTGTGGAATTGTACTCAAGAAATAAAATACAGAGAGAAAATTATTTGTCCATTAAAGTCTCTCTCAGTCCTTTTTTTTAAAATTTTTGCTATTATAAAAGAATAACATAGACTGGGTAATTTATAAAGAACAAATGTGTTTCTCATAGTTCTAGAGGCTGGGAAATCCAAGACAGAGGTACAGGCTTCTGATAAGGATCTTCTTACTGAATTATCCTGCATCAGAAGGTGGAAGAGCGAGAGAGCACAGGAGCAGGAGAGAGGGAAAAACTCCCACTTACACCAAACTTGCTCTCCCAATAACAAAATCCAATTCTGTGACATTGACATTCATCCATTCATGAGGGCCTTTCCTAAAGGCCCCACATCTCAACACTTGTGAGGAGACAGAGTTGTGTTGGAGGTTAAGTTTTGAACACTTGGGCTTTAGAGGACACATTTGAAACATACAAAGTTTCTGGGACAACCAAAGCATCAGAGAGCTTAGCTGACTTGTGAATTAGGAAACTTGGTTCCCTCTCATAGCTGAGTAATCTCAAGTAAATATTTTATCTGTGCCACAAATGTCTTATTTGAAATCAATAAGAACATTGGACTAGACTGTTTCTATTTTTTTTAAATTTTTCAAATTAGAAAACAATCTCATTGCATAAATAATACACATTTCTTACTGGAAATCCAGAGCTCCTATCACAAGTCCCAGAGCTTATTAGACCTTCTTCTAATGAAAAAGCCCCTGCTTCCAGGCTTGCTGATGTTCTTAACAGATGAAAAACACGAAAAAATGAAGTGTTTGGGAGATGTTCTCTGGGATCCTGTATTTCCCAACATGCTGCACCATACCCTTGCCTGACCCAGCATCTTGCTTGTTTTTTGGACGCTTCAGTCTTTCTCATTGGGTGAAGAATACCACGTAGACTGCCTCAAAAAGCAGCATTGAGGAAAGAAGAAGGTAAAAATCTTTGTCTTTCAGTTAGAGGACATACAGAAGCAAGCATCTTTGTACTCTATTTCAAGCAGCTGAGTTTGCTCTATTTTTAATGTCATAGCATATGTAAAAAAAGTCTTTCATAGCTTTAGTTATTAAAATTTTTAAATATACAGAAATAATGGACCAGACACTCTTATAACAGATATTGTTGCTTTCTTATATTTTCAAATATGCATCCATAGTTATATTCGCATCTGCATACACTTACAGATTTGTCTAAAGCCCACTTTGCCCATCTCAGTTGTCCTCCCTACACCTCAGCAGTAATCACTGTGCTGGGGTTATGGTACCATTCCAATATACGATTATGTGTATTTACTCCACCTGTTTGAATCCATAAACAATAATTTATTAGATATTTAAATATTAACATAAATATAACATATATATCATCTTAGAACTTGCTTTTCTATCTGGATGCATAATTGAAAATATAAGCAATAATTTGTGTTCTTATAAAATTTATATATGGAGATGTGATTTACCATTGTATTTTATATAGTATTACATAGTAAAAATGTTTACACATTTGCCACTGAAGGATAATTAGGATATCACTGTAAGCCAGGGATGGGAAGTTTGTGTTACCAGACTGTGTTTGGTTTTGGCATAAACGTTACTGCCACCCTGAACACAAATACATTATTAAGGCTCTAAAACTTGCATTTTCCCCTTAATAGCAAGTATCACTATTTAATTTGTAACAGGCACATACTGCTATTCAATGCTTCACCTGAGAATAATATTTTGTTATGGTTCATGAGTTTGGGAAAAATTGAAAGTTTTGATTGAAAACTATTCAGATAATTGAAGTGAAATATGCTTAGACTGTAAATGTCAATTGTTCCTCTTTTCTAAGTCCCCTTTCTCCCTCTCCTTTTCCTCTTCTTTTTTCTTTCTTCCTTCCTGCCTCCCTTCCTTTATTTCTAAATAAACACTTTATGTTTATTTTGATGCTAGATGATGAGATGAATTAAATTCATTGCTTCTGATCAGCTGGTTCCTTTTGAAAAAATGAAAATCAAATTGCAAATGTAGGATCCTTGAAGGAGTTAATGCAATTCACTGTTTCAAAGTAAATTAAGTCTTCAGATTACATTGGTGTTATTAACTTCTTTTCTAGACTTGACTGAGCTTTGTAGGTCATCCCAATTACAGAAAAATAATTTTTAGATTACTTAATAAAAATACAACTAGCTATACACAAGTGAGAAATCAGTATCCATATATTCTATAGCAATATAATATTCACAGCCCATAGGCACTAATTTTCAGACATGCCATGCAGGCTGATGATGCAAAGATTATCTTTAAAACCCTCTTATTTGCCTTGTGAATAAAATCCATAGACAGTGGGCCTGATCACACAGAATTTGTAACTAGCAAAATTGGTACTAAGGTTTGACACAGTCAGTCTAGATTCAGAATCCATTTTCTTAACTACAAAATTACACTGATAGAGAAAACTGCCAGTGGTCCACAGGAGAAGAACACAACATAATAAAATATATTTTCAATAAGTTATTTCCAACAGTTGCAATTCCAAAATAACATTTGCCTCTTCAAGTGATGGGTACTGAGACTCAGGTGATTAAAAAGGCTTAAGCCTCTACTTTTGCTTATTGTCACAAAGAAAGAAGAGTTGAGCAATTCTCTAACAAACTTATTATATAATCACAGATTCCTATGAGTTGAATATAGATAGGACAGTTGAAAATTAAGGGTTTTTTTTTTTTTTTTTAAGGATTCAGTTGAATTTCAATGACACCCACTGGTCTTTCTGCCCTACATGTAGACAGCTACTTTAAAGGGTGGTTTTCATATTCTAGGATATGGCTTTGGGGATGAGATGACTATTTCTGAGGGAGCATACCCTGGATTACTGTCCTTTTAAGCCTGAAGATGCCTGACACCCCACCTTTTCTGTGTTTATAAATGTTGACTGACTTCATGGAAGATTCCAAAGACAAATAGTTAAAACTTCTCTGTCTTCTACACTCAAGGCATTTGCATTATATGTGTTAAAATGGAATAATCACACATACATTTTAAGCACAGTGACCTAGAATTATAACAACTTAGGCATTCAACTTAATTAAAATGCATAACAAACTGAGCTGTATGTTGACAAGTAACATTTTTGATCCACCAGTTGTCTGACCATGCAGCGATATATGTCCTTTCAACTAAGTTTATAATTAACAGCAGTCAGAACATGGCCATGAAAATAAGTTCTCCATCATGGCCAAGAGATCATTAGTAATGCTATCTAACACCCATGTTAAATTTACAGATATTAATATTCAGATAAGATTCTGCCTTTAAAAATATGTATGCAATGGAGAATTTTGCCAACTGGGCACAAAAGAGATCTTCTCAACCCTCCCATTATTCAGAAAGTAATTAAAATCAATTAACTATGTTACAATGAAGATTAAAATGACAAAATTATAATTTGGTGGTGAAAGTATCAGAAATTAGAGCCAGTGATTAGTGTCTTTCAATTATCATTGACATTCGTGATCTAGGAGACGTAAAAGTCAAATGTGTTTAATTTAATGTTATTACATTAGAAAATTCCATTTAAAAACCTAGAGGAGTTAAAATGTTTTAAATATAGAGTAAGTATAAAGGTGTTCAATATGTTTATCAGATTATTTAAAAATGTTACTGGTCATTGGACAATACTCTTAATCCCTTAAATTTTCATTAAACTAATTTTAATGGGAAAAGATAATACTCGTTTTACAACAAAGATTTCATAAATATGAATGAAAACACAATACATTATAAAGAACAAGTGACTCCAGCGTCTTCAGAGTGTGAACAGACTCTCACACCCCATTGCCTAATATTACACTCTTCAATAGATGACTCTCTTCCAAAACAAAATACTTCATTCAGCCATATTGGACCAGTACCTGCAAAAATCAGATACAACTGCATTAGTAAGCATAAGTAAGTGGTCATGTTTAGTGGGACAAAGCCATTAGCCCATTCACTAATTAAACCCAAATATTGATCATTATCTACATGCAAGTTCTGTGCTCTCTGTTAGAATTCCAAAATGAATCCCCTGATTCAGAGAACTCTACACTCCAGTCAACATGTAAACTACTAATGTACCAAGAAATGAGAGTTATAACAAAAGTTCCTATGCTGGTCCATGAAAGCACAGATTAAAGGATAACTGATTCTTTTTCTAAGGGTGCAATGAGATTGATTGTTAATCTAAACATAGGGAAGGAAATAGCTCTAATAGCAATGGAGATATGTGATAACCAGATGATCTACATGTCAAACTATGGCAACTGTTTTTCGAAACATCCTGGGGCATGTCTGGAACATAAGAAATACTGGTGGGAGGACTCCATAGCTTCATCTTCATTATTTTTAGCTTCCGATATGTTTCATTGAGCTGTGCCTAGTTTGCCAAAATATTATCTAATTTTAATCCAACTAAAACTGATCCAATCAGGAAAGGATTTACAAACTACACTGTAAGGAACCATGGATTAAAAATATTACTAACTACAAGAACAAGCAAATAACATGAAAATGTCAGGGCTAACACACATACTCTTTGTTTGAGATACTTCTCAGGCCTTTATAAGAAAAACAACGGCTGTCATCAGTAAGCTACCTGACAGATATTTAACTAAATGAATATACTTAACCACCACTTCCAAGTAAATACTCCATTTTTATCAATAAGCAAACAACTCTATTTAAAAGAAACTCATGCAATGAAAAGAAAAGCTAATTTTAAAAATAAATGTTTGGATGTGTTATTCCCTAAAGTTTCATAAGTAGATCACTTATAAATGTTCTCCTTCTTTTTTATTCTTGAGATAGTTCAAACCATTGGAAAACTTTTAAATAAATGGTTTCATCAGGTTTTGTTAGCTAGATAAAATTGCAAATCTCCTGAGGAGTTTTCAAGAATACTTCATGCCATAAAGACACTGATGGTTCCACACTGAATTTATCAAAATCTTTTCAAAACTGGTGGATAATAAGTAAATATTTTAATACTGTATGCATAATTATGATGATTTTCCTAAAAAGTTGGACCAATATGATCTTGAAAGGTTCTCTTTCAGTCACAAGAACTATATAAAACATATTTAGAAATAACTTCAACTTAGACCTCTGTGCATCTATAGAAGACTATTTTTTTTTTCAAAAAGGCATGCATGATGATATTACTCTCACCAAGTTTTCAAATATTCTGTGAGCTCAATAAATAAAATATAATAATATGTACATGGTTAATAATGTGCATAATTGTATAGTGGTTTGTGCATGTATAAATAAATAATCAGCTCTTGGTGCTTTTGTTATTTACTATGTGGATAACACTGGAAAGAACCTTAAAAATTTATGGAGGCTTTCCATCTTATATAAGAATATATTAAAAGTTATTTCAAGTAATAAGGGCATCATGAAAATGCTTGATGTATTAAAATAATTAGTCTCTGGGCATCTAAAACACAAAATATATTAATCACTGGAGGAAGATCATTAGGAAGGTTAGGTAGAAAGTGGGGTCCATGTTAAAAAAATTCTTAAACTTTGTATTGTTAAGCCACCAAAAAATGACATCATCAGATGTACATTTTAAAATTGTATGTCTGGCAAAAGATTGGTAGTTGGACTGAAGAAGAAAGAATTTGTAAGACAGAAGGAAACATAATACATGTCTATATAGAAATTTTTTTAATGACATGCTTTTATTTGCTCTTTAGAATTGAACAGAAAATTTTGGTTTTCACATATCAAATAAATGATACATTCATTTAATTTATGAGTAATCTGTGCCTTCACTAAAAAGATCCAAACATGAGACAAAATTTTCTTTTGGTTTGCTTTATCAAAATAACTATGAACATTGCATTTTTCATTTACCATAACAGTAATTAAACAATTAGAGTCCAAACTATGCTTCTATTATGGGTTGTTTGATTGTTTTTGTGGTGTTCATCATGGAACCCATGGCTAAGCAAAAGCTCTATCACTGAACTACAACCCCAACCACACTGTTTCTATTATGAAAAAGCAATGATTTTTCCTGGGCTGATCAATTGCAAAAGTAGTAATAGTAAACTGAAGAGCGCAACTATTTTTTGAAGTGTTTATAACAGTGTTGAGTTTTTCTAGAAACCCCTCCAAAAACACTTTTTGGTTCTCAAATTGCTTTTGTTATGTGAGGCATACTCCCGTTTGTTTATGCATATTTTTAAGTGTGAATACGTTTGTGTGTATTTCCTTTTAGGTTTATAAAAGAAGTTTTGGAAAACAAACAACTGGGTACCATGGTACATACCTGTAATCCCAGTGGCTAGGGAGGCTGAGGCAGGAGGATAAAGAGTTCAAAGCCAGACTCAGCAATTTAATGAGGCCCTAAGCAACTTACAAGACCCTATCTCAAAATTATATATATATAATTTTATATATTTATATATTTATTTATTTATTTATATATTTATTTATTTTATATATTTAATTATTATATATTTATATATCTCAAAATTATATATATATATAATCACTGGGGATGTGGCTCAGTGGGTTAAATGGCCCTGGGTTCAATCCACAGTATCAATTATGAAAACAAAACAAAAACAACAGCAACAACAAACAGCTCTACAGATAGTAAGACAATACCAGTGCCAAAATGGAAGGGAGTTAAGACACTAGGATCTTTATAAATTGTGCACATTACATTTATGGACATAAAAAAAATTATGTGTAAATGAAGAAAAGAGAAATTTTGGTGAAAACCATGACTCTTATACTTCTGGGAGCACAAGAATAGAAGGCTCCATGGCCTCTGTCACTGGCTACTATGAGGTTTTTCCTCTATATTTTATGAATCCAGTCACTGGATTAAGTGCAGAATTTCTAGACTCCTAGAAAAGAGAATGAAAGTCAGAATTTTCTATGGGCTGTAGCACCGTTCCAGCAGGGGCAGCACAGGGAAGAAATGACTTAGTCAATTGATGTGCTGATGTGTGAGTGCACATTTTTAGACGCTGTGGTTAAGGAATTATGAATGTCAGAATAGCAAGGATGAGGTGATAATAATGGAAATTTAAGCTTACTCTTTTAAGGAATTAGTAGGTAACAAGAAGCATTCAATCTTCATTTATCATATTATCTCATTGAATCCTCAAATAACTGAAAAAAAATTAAGTGCTGATATCATGCCATTTTATCGTTGAAGCAACTGAAACTCAGAGAAAGAATAAGAAACTTTTACCAAGGTCACAGGGAATTCCTAACCTGTTTCTACCCAGAGCCAGTGCCCTTTATCAACAATGTACTGCACACCCCTGTGTTTTTAGACAACCATGACAGAAATCTATTTTGAGTATCTACAGGAGTGAACAAGACCAAAATCCTTCGCACTTGCCCTGACCTTCTACTGGGCCTTAAGTTCTAGGGTTGTGAAGCAACTGCACACACAGGTACGGTGGCAGAGTGATATCTACCTTTAGAACCTCTTATTGAACTTCTTTTTTCTACTGGGGACACACAGATGTGATAAACACTTGTAGGTTTTGGTAACTGTGTCTTTTGCTATGCGGAAAAGATTCAGGCACAGCAAACATGTTATGAGTGCATTTGTATAAGTGGATATGCTAGGTATTTTCACATACAATTCTAAGTGTTTCTTCTCATAATAACCCTGAAAAAAGATGGCAATACTTCCATCTCATAGATAAACTGTCACTCAGAAAGGATATATGACTTTCTTAAAACAGCAAAGAATACAGCCAAGTACACTGACACTTAACGGTATTCATTGGCTGTGTAGATGCTTAAATAGTTATAAAAATAACTTCCAAATATTTGTTGTTGTTGTTTTTATATTAATATATTCAAGACTATGGAGCCTAAGGGAAATTTTTGTTTAATACATATTTTCTATCTCATTCCAAATTGTTTTCTGCATTAAAAAATTAATGCAAAGGTAGCATAAAATTCATAAAATTTTATACTCATATGAACCTACAAGATTAAAAAAATGGGTTTTTTAAAGATAATAACAGTTATTCAAGGATTTTTGTTGTTGCTGCTGTTTTTCTTTTTATTTGCTTCTGAAACATATTTCCTACTCAGTGGAAAATTATGTAAATTGGATGTGTACATTTTAGATACATTTTTATTCTTTAATCCTGAATTTTTCAATCCTAATTATTTATATCAGTATCCATCATCTATCTCATATATTTCTATGTATCTGTCATCTGCTCATGTCACCTATGTATCTATATATCTATTTCATCTATCTATCCGGGCATCTATGCATCTGTGACTTTCTTTAAATTTGAGGGCTATAGGAAGGACAAGTGGACTTATTTTGTTTCTAACAACAGGAAACAATAAAACTGTTGTCTATGGCTTCTGTAATTTTATGAGCTTGGTTTGTGATGCTTGAGAGTATAGTGCAAAGGTAATTATATTTCCTATTAACCTTTTGTGTAAGAATGTATGAGTGAGTGGGTGAGTAAGTGTGTGTGTGTGTGTGTGTGTGTGTGTGATGCTTAGGAAAAACACAGAACCTCATACATGTAGCTCTACCACTGAGCTACATCCCCAGCCCTGCCTCTTCAAGTTTAAGTGATATTTGGTATCTTTAATCTGATCTTCAGTTGGCCACCATTGCTATGGGGAAAAAAGGTAATTGGAGTTCATTCACTGACCAGACACTCAGTAAAATGATGAGATTTGAGATTGACTGCTGAGTAGATGGAAATGGAAGCAAAGATTATTAATGGTTAAAAGCATCTGGATGTATTTTCATTATATCTAGTCATGGATGGGTGACATGAATTTTACCACTTTGATGACTTATCAGGGAAGTGCTTTAAGAAGACCTTCTCCTTTGAGGAAAAAAAAATATTATGTTTGGAATCAAAGTTGAAAATGCCATTGGGATGGAAACATAGCAGACCTTGTGGACATAGGTTATGGTATGGATGCTTTGTGGTTCCGGAGAGTCCACTTATTTTCCCTCAATGTTGTCATATGAAGAAAAAAGGAGTGGGGCTCAAATAAGATTTCATTTACTTTTAACATCCCATGAGTCTAAGATTCTAAAAAAGAAAACTCCTTAAAAAATGAAGTTCTTAAGGATAAAGGGTTTAGAAGGATGTTCTATGTGGTGAAAATAGTGTGGCATGAGTTCCAGGTTCAGGAATGAAACTGAGATACACTCCCCCCACAATGGGTATGTAAATTTGGGCAAGTTTTGTGACCTCTACTAGCTATACTTACTTCCTCTCTGAGAAACTAGGGCTATAATATCTATTTCTCACAAGCTCTGTGAGCACTAAAGGAGATTATATAAATAATACTTAACAACTGATTCTCTCCCATTCTTAGTACTATCTTTGTTACTGTAAGTAACAAAATAGATATAAACCCTATAGGGTTTCCAAAATACCCAACATCCTAATATTTACATTTCAAAGCTTTCTATGGGAGGGAGAAGAATTATGTAAAACTTGAAATTCTTAACTATTGATATTTTTTATTTATTTGGGGATTATTTTACTCCCATTCCCTATAATTTAGTTCAGAGGTGTGGAGTTATACTTTTTTGGTTGCTTGCTATTTTTCCTTGCATTTAAAAACAAAAGTCCACTATAAAATTTGTTATGGAAGTGGTAATATAAAACAAAGCATAATGAGCTAAGAATGAATAAGAGTTGGCACTTAATGTTTAAAATTTCCTTCTTCTGTTTTGACGTTGGAGTTCAGCATTATAAACTTAAGATGAATTATCTACTCCTAGTTCAGCTCTTAGTTTTCTCATCACAAACCACATAGGCTCAGACATACCTGAACAAATTCCCTTAGGTAGTACCACTGTCTGATAAAACTCAACCAAGTTTGCTACAGGGAGACCACTGGAACAAGAGGTGGATAGGAAGGAGAAGTGACTCCCCTCCCTTCCCTGCCCTACACAATGATAAATACCAGATGGCTCTTAGTACTTCCTTAATTTAACTGTTTTTGTCTACTCAGGAAATAGAAAGAACATTCTACTTCATGCAAAAGGTGCATCCAAATGAAAGAACCTATTTAAAGGAGCATGCTTTAAGCTTTATTCCAATAAATCATTTTGCTTGCAGCTGCAAAACTAATTGTTCTTAAAGTTAACAAGGATTATCACTTGTAATCCAGGTTTGCTATTTTAAAACCAGAAAAAAATTGAGGGGGTCAGGGAGCCTGTGTCCAAAAAATGATATTCTTTCTGTAATGGAGGAATTATACAAAAGGGATAAATTTAAATTTTTCTCTTTTTGTTTTAATTTTGGTAATTATGTACAATATAATATTAATCTTATTCTTCTTATTTTCCTAAGAGAATAATAATTAGATCTCTCATGCATGTTTCTCTTTTATTCCTCTACATATTCACTCATATTTCTAAGTTTCCTCTTCTGTCTCTATTCTGCCTTCAAAATTGCTTTTTTTTTTTTTTTTTTTTTTTTTTTGCACTCTTGTGGGTAAAACTGTAAATTTAAAGTAGAGGAGTAAAAAGACAAGGGGGAGTCTAAATAGTTTTACATAAAAGGGTTGTTCAGCATGTCTAATCCCAAAGCAGCTTATAATGTAAGCCTGTCTCTTAAAATATAATATCCAACGAAGCAGATCATAAAATTTACTTTTCAAACACTTTTTTTCCCCTTCAGAACAAATAACCTTGGTTCTATTATGTCTTTTTCCCAGTTCATCTTGCTTTATTATTTAAAATTCTCTTAATCATTCTTTAGTTGTTTGGTATTGAACTGCAGACAGAAAGCTGAAACAAGAGCTGGACCAATAGAAATAGGGAGATGATGAGAGCACCTCTCACACCTTTGTACAATGGAAAATCGCATTTACATTTCTGACTCTTGGAACATCATCAATGTCTCTATACCATATAATACTGCCCTGACTCTTCTTTCAAAGAGAATAGTAAATGAATTTATAATTATACAGCATGTTAGCTGTGATCTCTATTAGTATTGAACAATACTATGGGGTTTTGTGGTGGTCACTTTCCATATGCTAGTGCACTTAAGATTCAGAGTAAATCTGCCAGATTGATTTTTTTTTTTTTAAGAAAGGAAACTGGAATTCTGTGGCATGAGTAGCAGAGCTAAGGTTTCACATCTCATATTCTCTAACAAAGCTCCTAGTTTTTCCAATTTGCTTTAATAGGTGCTCAAAAAATACAAAAGGAAAACCAACATCCTGATAGTACCAAGTAAACAATTTAACATGAGACTAAACCCTATTTTTTTATTCCTTATTGAAATAGGAAATATTAATTCCCAGTATTTCAGGATACTTACTTCCAAACTTTCTTACCAGTGCTTTAGACCAAAAATTGTTAGAGGTATAAGCAGGAATAAATAAAAAGCTTTGAGAAAAAAGCATATTTCACTTGTGAGCTTAGACATTAAAGTTAATGCAATCTGAACAATAACCTTTGGAACTCCAGAGGGAAAGCAAGGAAGCAAGTCTTCATGCTCAGAGAAGAAATAAAGCTAGAGTACCATACATCGTGTTTTGCCAAAGGTCATTAGTTTCCCCTGAATTAAATTACATATACTACTATTGTTGTTCTCAATTTGGTTTTCTCTGTAATAGATAAAAAGTTTACCTGAAGACACAGGAGATTAATAAACTGTACTACTGGGTTTCTTATTGAAACAAAGCTAAATGAAGAGTTGCCAACTCTCTGGACAATGAAAGCTACCAAAGAACTCATCTTGATTAAAGGCATTTTAGGACATTTTTGGTTTTTAGATTAAGCTTATCAATACTGATTAAATTATCTGAACAACTGGTAAATTCTGTATTTCATTTTGACACAGTATTACATTCTAAGAAGCCAAACCATCAACACTTTGCTATTTCTTAAACTGGAGAATTTTTAGCCATATGAAGGGTGAATAAGACCCTTAAAGGGAACTGTGTGTCCTATGTTAGTACCGCAGGTGTCTACTTCACAGATGCTAACATTCAGTGGAAATGTTTTATATAATTATGTATTTAAAATACATAGCCTTTCATTGTGTATAACTTAGTTATTATAGAAATGAATTTTCACCCCATAAAATATTTGTAGAAATGTAGACTGGCAATTCAGACTTAGCTAGGAGATTGGCTGCATCATTTGATCCTCTAGAGGCCAAGGGTTGGGGAATATTTTTTTTTTTTTTTATTCCTCTCCAAAAAGTTGACCTTGAAAACATTTCTTTTGGGTAGGTAAATTTTACAGGTGCAAAAAAGATTTAGAGCCTGAGAAACAAGTTCTGAATGAGTGTGGATAAAAAATTTGGAAACTCCCAACATCTATCTGGTAGTAGAAAATTAAATATATTTTCCATTTCTTTTTCTTTTTCCATTCAAACCTCTAAGGCACAAGTGAAAAATCTTGTAGCTAGGGGCTGAATCTGGATACATAAACACTGCATATTACCACTCTGTATTATCTGTCTAGTCTCTTCATGAAATTAAAATATCCTCCTGGCCTGTGAAGGCCTCAGAACCTGAGATCCCTGCTTAAATCTGTCTCTTACATTTGATATGAGGATTCATTTACATAAAGGAATAAAGGAGGCAGCTATGACCTATTATCAATATTATTTAGACATTTAGTGCAATGCCTGGCATATACTCATTACTCACTAAATTGTAGCATAATGTCATTTAATATCTTTATGCATTTAGAAGGGCTATTTCATCTTATTCTAGTCCTCTGGTATAATGATTTGACATGCTCTCCTATTTTATCACTGTAGATAAGGTTATCTGGAAATGCTCCTATTTTGTCTTTATAATTTTACATACACTTTTCTTTCCGTTTTGCCAGATTGCCTACATCTATCTAGAATAATAACACTTAGGAAACAGAAGGTTACATCTTATTTTTTGTCAACATCCATTTGAGACAAAGTATCAGATTGAAGTGGGAAATACTTATTAAAATGCTTGGGTGTGGGGCTATCTTTTCCAATTATCTATGTCATTTAGAATTGCAGCATCTGTGTATGTATATTTATACATAAAGCTTAGCATAATATGCCAATTTAGATAAAAATGACAGTAAAAGTTTCATGGACATACGTTAAAACATTTTGCATCCTGCTAATACATGCATAGAGCAGTATACTGAGTCATCTAGGTGAAATACACCAATGTGTATGCAGCCAAAGAATTATTTAATGTTTTATTAACCTCAAAACCAGGTTTCTCATCTTTCTCTTAAGGAGCACAAGCCAGAAACAGTAGGGACAGAAAGTCTATGCAATTACTTCTCTCCCATGGGTTTTCACTGTCCTGGGTGAATACAAGTAGTCAATCAGGGGTGAATAGTATGTCTCATTTCTGTGGGACTTCATGGGAGGTACACCTAAGGCTGTTGCTTTTCAGTCCCATGGAAGAAAGATGCCCAAATAGATGCCCCCCAGGTGTCACCCAGTATGTGCCATGCCTTGTCAGTAATTCATTATGCTCTACTCTTCTTTATCTGCCTTATCAATAACAATATTTCCCTCTATGTCAATATTCTTCACTAACCAATTGAGTCTAAATAAAATTTGGGTTGCTTTAGTTTAAATATGAAATATATTTGTAACATCCCTTTCTTTTTATTTCTGTTTTCTAGGATTGACCATTAAAAATCCTACATGGAATTCTTTTCTCCCATCCTATGGCTCCTTTCCCATCTTGGTCCCACATCATTAAAGAATGTTTACATTTCATGTTTTATTTAAACAAGATTTTATTTAAATTACCTTGTCCAAAATGAGCTCCCTTGTGCACGCTTTGAACGCCTTGGTATCCCAAACTCCGGCAGATGACTTGTCCAACACGTAATTCCCATCGATCATCACAAACTGTGCCCCACTGACCATTGTGGAAGATCTCCACCCTGCCCTCATGAGGCCCACTACCGCCCACCAGCCGAACTGTCTTAGACTGAGCTGTGAAGTAAATAAATAAATAAACAATAGGATTAATTTTGTGCACTTTGTTTCATAATGCATTTTTCTTCTCAAAAAAAACATTTTAGCATGCTTTTTTTTTTTCAATAAGTTCCACTATTGGAATAAATATTAAACTTTCTAGCACCACCTATTGCTCAAGAGTTTAACTGCAAGCATCACATTGGTAAAAGATAAGCAAAATCCATTCTAACATTTTTATGTTCTATGTATGAGAACACTTCAATGATTATGTTCCTATGAGCTTAAAATCAATAGTTACAAGTTTCTTAAAGTTTTAAAATTTTTTCATACTATTTAAAAATGTATAACAAAACGATTCATTATTTTCCTGACACACACTTTTAACACACAATCTTGAACATACAATCCAGAGATTTTCAGTGGTACAGGATGTCAAGGAACAGATTATTTTATAATACCAGAAACAAAAACATAGCAAATTTCCTATCTTTTGCTAAGAGAAACAAGGTACAACTAGCAACAACATTCATTTAGAAATGGCAGGGGCATTCCTTCTTATTAGGTTTCTGGATTTTTTCCCCCCAAACTTGGGTGCTGGGTATGTGTATGTATGTGTGTCCTCTTGCATGCATTTGGATAAAAGTTAATGATATAATCAGAAAGTTCGTGGGTATTCTGAAAAATGACTAGAGCACTAAACTTTACAAAGAAATAAACTGTGTTCATAATTATAAGAGTAATTTTGTTTTGTAATATCTAACCAATCAAAGTTGCTATATGTCTGATGTTTTGAAAAATTTTGATCATACTCCAGAAAGATTCACATGAACATAAAATGTTTCTTTCCTACTTTAAAAAACAAATATATACATTTTTCAACCTAGGGGCAGATAAATAAAAGTATACAATTAATATAAAATGATTTATCTTGAGTAATGAAGTTTTTTAAATAACCTATGCTATTCCAGTGAGTATTTGTTTAAAAATTCATCTGTGAAGAATGCAATGAAATTCAGAAGGAAGATATTTTAAAAATGTAATTAATACTATATACAATTATTAATATTCTTAATAATCATAAAAAGTCAATGAATAAATACAGTTCTATTTATATCTTTTAAATATAAGCCTGAGGAACACTATATTATAAAAAGATCAAGAAGTAATTATCATAACAAAAATATCTGTCTAATGTGAAAATGGAGTTAGAGTATAATTTTTAGAGGTCAATTAATTGAATTCAGTAACATTTTCCCCTCAATTTGAAAAATTTGGTTGAACCAGTAACTCAATGACATGTAAGAAAAATTGAACATACCCCATAACAAAACTAACTGAGCCACTCAGAAATATAAAAAGGTGACCTGCTAATATATATTATTATAATTATTTTCTTGATTCTTCCAAATGTAATTCCGTGCTAAATACTGAATTAATATAATCATACCAAAGTGCATAAGTCATTCCTCACTCAATAAGCATAAGTTAAAAATATTTTTGAAATAGAAATAATTTGTAATTAAGGTATTTAAACTTTCAATTACTGAGTAAAATACCTGGGTGACCCAATCATTCACTATAATTGCCTAAGAAAATGAGAAAGAATAATCTAAAAATGAATTGTGTAAAGCTTTTCAAAATTAGAACCAACTTCTATTAACTTGTGTCATGTCCAAATGCTTATTTTTATGTGAGTCAAATATATCCAAGCCTAATGTATTTATCATATATGCTATGAAAAGCAGGAATATTCAAACATTATGTGAACTTGGCTGTCTCATTGCCCAAACTAGTGTATGTAGGCATTCTCAGTGTGCATTCTTTGCTTTTTACTTCTCAAAAAATATCATTAATGAGTCTTGCTTGTCCTGAAACAGTTGTTCTCAAACATTAATATGTAACAGAATCATAAATTGCTGGCTCCACAACCAGAATTTCTGATATAGTGGTCTTGAATGGGGCCTGATAATTATTACTTTTAACAAGTTTTCAGGTGATCCTGATGCTGTTGGTCCAGATATGACACTTTGAGAAATCCTAACTAGAAGATCACATTACATACTTTTAGATATTTAAGAGGGATGCATGTTATATCATAAATAGCTAACAATGCTTATAAAATAATTATAAAATAATTTAGTTTCATTTATTGCAAAGAGAATGACTGCTGCTTTCTCAAATCCTATCTATGCTCACAGGATTCTAAGAGGGAGCGAAGTCCTTCTATCAAATTATTTAGGGCCAAAATGATCAAATATGTTTATGCCTATCTGTCACCTGAAATATTTTTCAATTATAAATCAACTATTGACAGGTGATCATGCTTTGCTAATCCTTAGTTATCTCTGAACTAATAAAGAGGACTGAGGCAAGTCAAGACTCAGTGAAGAATTGACATCCCATACCATTGTGCTACTCTGTTTTGATGGAGAAAAGTTAGTTTTGTCATCAGTCTTAATCACAGCATTTCATATAATCTTAGTCACAGCATTTTATTCTGTTAGATTGCAGATCAGGTTTTCTTCTGATTTAACTAACTCATCATTATATGATATCTATACTTCCTTGGCATCAAGCTAATATATTTAGTCAAACAGATTTTTTCACACACACACACACACACACACACACGTATATATGTATATATGATGGCTGTCCTAATTCTCTTTTTAACTTTATTAATATAGACTTTTCCAGATTCAAATCAGATAAACACAGAAAAGCATTGAATATGTGCCTGCTGAATAATTTTCTGTATTAATTATAACATTTTAATTGGTGAAAAAATGAAAACAGAAACCAAAGTAACAAAAATGAAAAGGATAACAGAATTAAGGAAAATGTGATATCTTGTGGAACTGAGATATAGATCTCAGTTAGGTATCTGGAACTGATGAACCAAGACAAATCCGCTCAGAACTACCCAACTGTTATCCAGGTTTCTATCTGTAGGTTGCTCCAATCTAATCTTTTCTTGCAAGCTGTGTATCTTTGCTCTCCAGTTTGCATTGTGGAACTTCGCTAACAACCCTTAGTTTGTGTTATGTGGTGTCTTTCTTAGTGGTACTTCTAATGATCCAGGCATGCTGTCTAGGGCACTGTTTGGGACAGATGCCCACATTTGGACTAAATAGCTTGGGTCAAATATTTAAGGTCACCTGCAATAACATGGCTCTCCTGGAGTGAGGGTGGGGATTCATCCCTGTTAAAGGAAGAGTTTTAAGCAGACAAAATCTTAAGTCCATTCTGTAAAAGATATTTTAATAATCTTGGTATATTTGTGCAATATTAATAATATTAGATGTTTAGTGCTATAACTTTTTCGTATCTAAAACTGTAGAGTATATCTGTCATTACAAATTCAGGAGATTTTTAATTTCCCATTTAGCAATTATTCTTCTTAAAGAGGAGCTATGATTCAACTGTGATGAGCTTCTGCAGAAAGACAAGATCTGCCATATAGTTTTAGATATGAGATTAGTTAGGCTTTTTTATTTACAAACACGAATTTTACCTTATGGAGGGACTCTTCTGGACCAGTGAGCAACTATGGTCCACTAGCCAATTTCAACCTGCTTTTTGTTTTGCACATAAAGTTTTATTGGAATACAACCACACCTATAGGTTTACATATTGTCTATGGCTGTTTTCAGGTTACCAGAGCAGAGGTGAATAGTTGTGATAGAGACCATATAGAGTGCAATACAAATATTTGCTATCTGGAACCCTTTGAAAAGTTCTCCACCCCTACATTCTTGGTCTTTGTATGCCAGTTATGTAACTACTCACATTTTCTATATAAGTCTTACTCTGTTTGATTTCTTTCTTTACTTTTTGAGACAGGGCCTCAATAAGTTGATAAGGGCCTTGCTAAGTTGCTGAGCTGGCCTCAAAACTTGCAATCTTCCTGCCTCAGTCTCTAGCCACTGGGAATACAGGCATGTGCCAAGGTGCCCAGCTTAACTCTCCTTGATTTCTGAGGCTTTGGTCCCTGTCTGAAATACATTTTTCTTCTTTCCCTACTTCCCCTCTCATTTCTCCACCCTCAATATCAGGTATGGTAAAGCATCATTTTGGGGTTCCTATAGCACTACTGGTCTGTACAAAAGCATCAAGACCTTGTCTATTTTCCCCAATTGACTTAAGATCTTTATGGTTATCTCTTCAGCACCCAACAGTGTGTAGGTTGTCACTTAGTGGTCACTTAATGAAAAGTTATAGTATGTGTGAATGAGGGATGGTAAGCTCCTCTTGGTATGGATTTGTGGACTGCATTACCTGAGTGGATTATATTGGCAAGTACTTAAAGATGCAAGAATAGAAGAAACAGAATTTAGTGTTTTTCAAATCTCTAGGCGAAATATATTTCCTATGTGTAGAAACAGAGTAAACTGGAAGGAAAGATTGATTTAACTGACATGTAGACATGAGTCTGAAAGGCAAAACCTACATGGCTAGCTACTGAGAACCTGCCAGGCTTAAAGCACTTGGTAGGAAGGTCTGATTAGAAGCCTTACACATTCTAAAAACCTGATTTTTGTTAACTTGTAAAGAAGATCTATTGTGTAGAGACAGACTCATGCTAAACAGAATATTTGGACTAAATGTCAATTCAGTTTACAATGAGTGATGTAATTGCCTCAAAAACTTGAATATTTGAATCTGCATGACCAGGATAGTGTTTCCCCACGGGCAACTACATGCAAAGTCAAATCACAACCAGTGAATTATTAGCTTAACTAATTTATAAATTTACAATGAGACATATCAGTGAGGTTTTTGCCTCTGGGAATGGCCAATGTTTGCTTTTTGTATATGTTAATACATTCTGTCAGGTTAGGAGATTTGACATATCTCTGCTCTGATTCATTGTATGCTCATTTTGCAGTTTAACTTTCTAAAGGCAACCTCACTATTCTTATTTCTAGCTTTTTGTTTTTTGTTTTGCTTTGTTTTGGTACTAGGGATTGAACTCAGGGCCACTTGGCCACTGAGCCACATCCCCAGCCCTATTTTGTATTTTATTTAAAGACAAGGTCTCACTGAATTGCTTAGTGCCCCGCTTATGCTGAGGCCTGACTCATTATTTCTAGTTATTGAGGAACGAATAGATACTAACAATTTCTTCATACTTTCTAAAGTTCATATACAAAATAAAAAAGTATATAAAGAAGTTATTACACAGATAGTTAATTCATATTTCTATTACCATAAGACATCAAAAGAAAAACAGGTAACAGAGCTAGGTATACAAAAGAAGAAATAGCTTAGTAGTCTAATTTGAGGGAGAACTCTAAATATAATAAAAGTTAACAATTTCAGTAATTATTTTTTTATAAATTTTATTTTTTTAAAGCTGGAGATAAAACAGAAATGTATTAAATATTTCAGAACAGAGGAGTATAATTAATATTCTATAATTAATTATATAAATAAAGAGGTCTACTCCCAGCCCTCCTTTTCTGAATTTTGAGACAGGGTCTGGATAAATTGATGAGGTTGGCCTTAAACTGAAGATATTTCTACTTCAGCCTCCTAAGTAGCTATAATTACAGGCAAACAACTCCATGCCTGGGTTTAATGGATAGTTTTAGAGGAATTAAGCATAATTGTTAAAATGAGCATATTAGGTGATTATATTAAGATTAAAATTTTGATTATTCCCATTATGTGTAATTATAATGCACCAATGAAAGGGAAAAGTTAGAAAAATTTTAATTTGCAATAAAAAATTAATTATAATTATGTAAAAAAATTGCTACATAATAAGACTAAAAGGAAATTCTTAAGTATATGGACAGTATTATTGCATGTGGTGCAGAAATTGAATACATATCTTTTCTCTATTTTCTTAATTATATTTTTAAAATTATGACCAATTTAATAAAAATAATTAGTAGGCTAAATATTTGCTAATGTCTTTACTGTTATGACGCATTGATGATTTCATAATGCTGAAATTCACAAAATTGAGGGGAAAGAAACAAAGCTCAGAGGGAGATAAACAGTATTTTGTTATTTATGTAAAATAACTCATAATACCATGTATTGTTTATGTATACATACATGTAGTAAATTCATAGAAGTGTAAGTAAAAGAAAGCATGTAAACTCCAAGATAAAAGCTCACTCTGAAAATAAAGGGAGGTGGGCTTAGGGGAACTCGATGGTATTCATAACATATTTTTTATAAAATCCAGTATGTGGCCCAGAACAGTGGTGCATGCCTGTAATACCAGCAGCTAGGGAGACTGAAACAGGAAGATCACAAGTTCAAAGCCAGGCTCAGCAAAAGTGAGATGCTAAGCAACTCAGTGAGATCCTGTCTCTAAATAAAATATAATGTAGGGCTGGGGATGTGGCTCAGTGGTTGCCCCTGAGCTCAATACTTGGAACCCCCCCCAAAATAAAAAATATGTATAGTCAAATAGTAATTGTCAACACCTTAAAAATTAAGTTGTTTTATACATAACTATTTATTAGCTATTTGCTATAAATATTTTTTCTTCTTTACATTTTACATTATCTTATTTTACTTATAGAATCAAACAACAAATTCACAACAGTGTTAATGGTGTCATACCTGGGCCCTAAACACATTATCAAAGAGTTTTTTATATGTCTTTCCTTGAAAGATATTATGAACCTACCAATATTAATTTGATAGACAAAACTCTAATCTGCAAACAGAAGTCAGGGAGGATGTCACCTCTGGGGTCTTCTTCACATGTGACCACCACTGCTATTGAGTAGAAGTAAAAAACCAAAGTTAAAAATGATTTTGAGGAGTAGTTCAATTATAGATGGTCCCCAACGTGTAATGGTTTAACTTTATGATTTTTCAGCTTTACAAATGTGCAAAAGCAATGCATTTTCAGTATAAAAGAATCTTGAACTTTGAATTTTGGTCCTTTCATGGCCAGAGAAACACCATCCTTATACCCTCTTAAGGTGCTGGGCAGTTGTAGCAAACTGCAGCTCTCAATGAGCCCCATCGCCTCAAGGACTATTGAGACTATTGGACTGTGTTGGTAGGTCGTGCTTGGTAGTTTAGGTGTATTAAATGCATTTTTAACTTATGATGTTTTCTACTTATGGTGCACTTAAAACGATGTAATTTCATTGTAAATTCAGAAGCTTGTATAAGATTATTGTTATATTGTTCACCCCAGGGTCATGTTTCTTTCTTTTGTAGCACTTATTGGAATTATGTTTTAAGGTTAAAATTATTACAATAGTAGTTGTTATATTTGAATTCCAAATGTAATACAGAAATCATATATATATATATATATATATATATATATATATATATATATATATATGTATATATATGATTGCAGTTTGACTTGAAATTTTCACAATATAGCAAAATTCTTCCAGAACAGAAAATGATTATTTAAGACAATTACCTTTGTGAGGTATTTAGCTATGAAATGCACACCTAGATACCATTATTTTTCTCTAGAAAAATAATGCAACATATTTTGTGTCTTAGTTCAAAAGTCAAGGGATACAATAATTTTGGAGATCTCAGAGTAAAGAGAAGAAAACTATAAGGAGAAAATTTCAGTGGAGATAAAGTATATAAAGTTATTATGATTGCTGAGGAGAGACTGAGGTGAATGATCAGTGAGAAAAGATTGGTGTACCCACTAGCTGGGGAATTTCAAGTGCAGTTAAGATTCAACTTGAAGTTGTAGATACTTATGCATATGCTTTCCCATTATGCCCACATCTTGGTTAAATTCTCTTAGATTCCCAAGTAAAGCTAAGGCACTTCTTCAAATGAAGGCAGAGATGTGGTGCTCATTGCTGGAATGAGTTGGTGTGGAGAGGAGTTTCTGGCCAAAGATGCCTACATACATTAGTTTCATAGGGCTGCCATAGTCAATGATCACAAACCGTAGCTTGAAGGGAAGTTGTTCTCTCACAGTCTTGGAAGTCAGAAGCCTGAAACCAAGCAGTAAAAAAGGCTCTCTGTACACACACAATTCAACTGCTGAACAACTAAAATAAAGATTGAGAACTCATTGATTGAGAACTCAAGATAAAATTACACTAAACTCAGATGATATTGTGTAAGTCTAAATGATAAGAGTAAATTACAACAATAAATAAAAATGTGAAAGAAGACTTTCGTTTCCTATAATTAATTTGTCAATTCTTTTTAATTTGTCAATTTTAATTAAATCAATAGATAAAAGTTAGAATGATCTTTCTAAAAATGGAAAATATTTAAGATGAGAGAAGAACTTTGTGTTTGAAATTGTCAATTATAAAAACAATTGTATTTCGAGAAGTATATTGTTTATCCTTTGAAGGGTAGTGTTTATTTATTGGTATGTTTGCTGCCATTTTAGAGCAATCTTTTTATTACTTAATGTTTCATTTCTAAGTGATTCTTAATTTCTAGAATTACTCAGAGAACTTTAAAAATTTTATAAAGGGGAATAGTATAAACTATAATATAGACTATCCATTTGTGGATTGTTTAAAATTTTGCTCTTCGGTTAAAACTCTGGAACACAAAAATAATCAAATCATCTATTAAGATATGAAATTTAATATTTAGAAGGTTCTCAGCATAAAACAGCATAAATTATGTTGCCATGCTTTCTGATTTCTGAAAATCTATGTATCAGATACCATGAAAGTCCTTATAACCCTTCTTCTAAGGGCTTGAGACATTGGTAAGGAATTTAACCCCTTGAGCCCTGATTTGCTCATTTATAAAATAAATACAATAACACCTATCTCCTAGGTTTGAGGTTTCTAATATAACAATATATGAAAAATTTGTACTATAAACTGCAAAGTACTATATAAAAATAGTAATACTATTATGAATTACAATTTATTCTGAAAGTAATCTTAGGAGCCTATAAAGTTAAAAATTAGGGATGTGATATCTGGTACTATGAAGTAAAATATCCCAAATTGGCCCTTTAAAGTTTAGTCATTCTAATTATTGGCAGATCTGAAAGCTAGGGTAGGATTTTCTAATGTTTTATGGTAGAAAAATACCTTTCCAAAAAACAGAGCGTTTGGACCTTGACTTTGCATTGAAATAATTGAAAGACAATATGCCTCCTGTATGTACAGATTGATTTCATGGAATTGGTAGAAGACAATACTGTGTATGGTCTTTATTCTGTGTAAACCTGGCAGGAGTGACTATAATTCATGTCAACAGCTGTGCCCAGAAATGGATAGGGATATATTACACGAAGCTTCAAAAATTCTAAAAAGAAGCTCTTTCCTCTTCCAAGAAACAGTTTCTTTCATTTGCTGGACCACTGTAGGGTAATTATGGTAGAAACTCATTATAATTAAGAAAAAAATATTGGCATATTTTGTAACAGAAAAAAATAGAGAAATATGTTTAGCAAATGGTGGACATCAATATGTGGGCTCTTAGATCAATGTAGTAAAGGCTTTATTTATTTCAAGAGGACTTCAGTTCTCACTCATCAGGGTAAGGACGGACTCTTAAAACAGGATGCTTCTCTGGGCTAGAAGCCAGGAGACCTGGCTCTAGACCCAGGTGTTCTGCCTGTTTGCATCTTAATTTCTGCATTCCTTATGATGTTTTTTTTTGTTATGACCTTATAGGATTAGTGTGAGAATCAATCAATGCATTATGATAATTCATAATCTTGTGCATAATATTATGTGATTCTCACAAATTTATTACGTGAGAAATGACAAATTTATTGTGGAGAGGTTAGAGAGAAAAGACATACTGAAGTATTTTTCTTAAGTGATAAAATTTAGAATCAGATAAACCAAGATTAAAATTTGAGACCTATGACACATATATTAGTTATGTGATTTTCATAGATTACTAATAGCCCTAACTCCTTATAGGAGAAATAGCAGACTTACAGATTTCTTGTGAGAGATTAAGTAAAGGAGATGTAGTATATGAAGTGATTTGCAGAGTGCCTGGCACAGAAGGATATTATAAATGCCAGTTATGTTAGTCAGCTTTTTGTCACTGTGACAAAAACAGCAAACAAAAGCAACTTAAAGGAGGAAAAGTTACTTGAGCACAGTTTCAGAGGTTCAGTCCATGGTTGGCTGATGCCAGTGCTCTGGGCCCAGAATGAATTAGACCATCATGACAGAGAACATGGCAGAGAAGTGATGCTCTGCTCATGGTGACCAGAAAGCAAACAGACAGAGGAAGAGGATGCAGAGAAGATGAACCCTTCCAGGACACACCTCTAGTGATCCACTACCTCTGGACATGGCCGACCTGGTTACCACCCAGTTAGTCCATTCAAACTAAGATGGACAGATTGGGTTACAGCTCTTACAATCTAATTATTTCACCTCTGAATATTCCTGTATTAACACAGGAGCTTTGGGGGAATATCTCATATCCAAATCATGACACTATTATTTATGAAAATTCTTATGTCTGGACTAATAATTAGAAATAGGTGATGGTAGCACAAAAGTATCATTATTATAAAAGTTTCTTTACTGCTTTGCAATTCAGAGTCCAAAAAGAACTTTTATAAATCACCTACCACTGTCCATAACACAAACCCACTGAAATTTGAATCTGCATGATGAGTTCAGTCATCTCTGTATGATAAAATCCTCAGCGGATACTCTGATATCCTACATAAACTAGAAACAACTTCTATATCAATATGTACCAGAATTGGTATGGTTACTTAATTTTAAATCTTTCACATTATGGAATAACTGAACTAGTGCATTGCTTTCTAATAAATAAGCATCTATAATATTTCTAAATACTATTGAACAACACAGTGATGTTGGTCCACTTTTTCTGTATCTTGGACCCTGCACCCTGGGATTCTGAAGGGACTATCCTGTTTTACCAACTATTTAGTATTTTCTCCACTTGTTGGGCAATAAATATAGACCCTCTCCAGATACAGGAGTTAATCAAGGAGAAAGCTCAAAATCCAAGTGGAGAAAGAAGGAGAAGGAGAAGGAGAAGGAGAAGGAGAAGGAGAAGGAGAAGGAGAAGGAGAAGGAGAAGGAGAAGGAGAAGGAGAAGGAGAAGGAGAAGGAGAAGGAGAAGAAGAAGAAGAAGAAGAAGAAGAAGAAGAAGAAGAAGAAGAAGAAGAAGAAGAAGAAGGCGAAGGCGGCACTTTTTCTCAGGCACAGCTAAATGTAAAGATAAGACAGCTCAGCAAAGCCTATCTGACAAAGAATGTGACACATGAAGAGTAAGGGAGAAAAATGGGAGAGAACTATATGCTTCTAGCCCCAGCTACTCAGGAAATGGAGGAGGCAGGAATATTGTTTGAGCCCTGGAATTTGAGTTTATCCTGAGAAACATAGCAAGACCATTCTTTAAAGAAAAATAAACAAAAGTAAGAGAGAGAGAGAGTGCAGTTTCAGAGGTTCAGTCCAAATGATCTAATTTGAACTCCTGGATCCTTCCATTCTTGAAGCAAAACCCATTTTCTGAAAGTGTTAATTCTTTCTTTCTGAAAGTGTTAATTCTTTCTCTCTCTTTCTTTCTTCCTTCCTTCCTTCCTTCCTTCCTTCCTTCCTTCCTTCCTTTCTTCTTTCTTTCTTTTATTGTGTTCTGTTTTGGTATTACAAGCAGACTAACACAATTTCCTTTCCCCCTTTTCACTTATGTTTTGCATTTTGGAATATTCATATGAACCAACACATTTTATTTCTTGATTGACCATGTTTTCATTACTTTCCACTTATCTATTCTTACAAATACATTGGTGGTGATCA